CTCTCTATTATCAAATGCACTTATCCAACAAGCCATGTGACAAAATGCTGTGGTTTTGCCACCAAAATAGGCAAAAAAAAAAAAAAAAAAAAAAAAAAAACCATGAGCTCTTGGAATACAGCAAGGACCCCAGAGATCAGATGCTTTGATTTCTTTCAGTCCCTTCTCAGACAGCTCTGCTGGATTATTTCTTAGAGAATGGGACGCACACTTCAGAAGCCAAAGTTACAAAGACCAGTGAAAAAGTTACCCTGCCGCCCTTGTGGTCCACCCCAAAAAGGCACTAAGCCACATTCTGCTTTTCAACCCTTGGCCTGTGGTGGCAATAATTTAAATGGCAAAGTAGACCGAGACCCTTGGGACACAGAGGTGTTTGCCCCCAACCAATGGCCAAGCTCTGTGGGCACAGCCAGGGGACTTCCTCAACAGGAGGAAACCCTCTGACCTTTTTTTGGTGACCTTCTGAGAGGGTGGTTATGGTGAGCCGTGAGCCCAGCCATAGTTCCTACCTCCTTTGAAGAAAGGGCAAGATAAATCACTATCCTTTAATTGTACTTCAAATGTGCACTATTTCTGGTCGGAGATGTCAAGAATTTTGCCAACATAGCATCCTCTTGCTAATATTTACTTTATTACGTGGGGGACACCTCATGGGTCTTGCTGTAATGTGCCTAAAGTCATACTATATTTAGTTCATCTTTTCCCTGAGATAAAGGAAAAAAAAAAACATAAAATATATGTTGAAAGCTAGGGGGATCTTTAGGCTAGAAAGACAGGTCCAGGGCTCCCTATTTTTCAGAGGATGGAACTGAAATGCTAAGATGGTGTGGTTTTCAGCATTACACACCTGGTTAATGACTAGCCTAGCACAGAGACTAGAATTTCCACTCGGCAAATGCCATGCACGCTCAGAGTTGTCCACAAAGCATCCCGTCGCCCATCACCATCTCCATGTCAGTTCTCACCCACCAGAAGAATCATTTGCATCAGTTAATGTATTACCCGGCATAAGGAAGTGAGGACTAGAACAGCATGTCGTTTTGCAAAATTAAGCTGGACACAAGCCCGCCTTCTCTCTTGCTAGCCTGCTTGCATCTTCTCACAGCTGGTGATTAGAATGGAAACGACAACATAGAAGGAAAACTAATTCTCTGTGTTCCTCATCATTTCAGAGCTATTTTCTTTCTCTGGGAAGTATTTTCTGCTGCTTCTGCTGTTGTAGCTGCTGTGTTCACTTTATTTTAGTCTATTTCCTATAATGATAATGGCTACCAGTTCTCAGGTGCATACTGAGTACCAACTACAAGCAAGCTTTCTATAGGTTATTTAAAACTCACAGCAACACCCCAAAAGATAAAAAAAATTATAATACCACTTAACAAACAAAATTAATCTCAGGAGAGGCCAAGTAGCTTCTCTTTTATTTTTTAAAGATTTTTTTTTAATTATTTGAAAGGCAGAGTTACAGAAAGAGGGAGAGGAAAAAGGAAGAATCTTCCATCTCCTGGTTCACTCCTCAAATGGCTGCAACGGACAGGGCTGGGCCAGGCTGAAGTCAAGAGCCAGCAGCTTCTTCTTTGTTTCCTACATGGGTGTAGGGGTCCAAGCATTTGGGCTATCCTCCACTGCTTCCCCAGGTGCATTAGCAGAGAGCTGGATTGGAAGTAGAGCAGCCGGGTCTTGAACTAGTGCCCATACGGGATGCCAGCATCACAGAGGCTTAACCTGCTATGCCCCTTATTCTTTTATTTATTTATTTATTTTTTGAAAGGCAGAGTTACAGAAAGAGGAGGAGGGGGGGATGGAAGGAGGGAGGGAGGGAGGGAGGGAGGGAGAGAAAGAGCAATATCTTCTGTAAAGTGACAGAAGGGCAGGATATGAACTCAGGTGTGAGTAAGAAGTCTGCTCTTCACAATGACCTTAAGTCTGATTCTTCTGGGTTTGGAGACTCCAGTCTGGAGTTCTTCCAGTATGGTATACATTACTTTTTGATAGGGTTTTGTGGGGAAGAGGGATCAGTACAGCTGCAAAACACCTTCACCACTCTGAGCGCACCTTCCCCAGCTGCTGAAGAAAGTTTAGGCCTACCACGTTTCTTTTGTAATTTTTATGACTGGGACTTTGGATTCAACTGTTAAAATACTTGTCTATCCCTCAGCCATGACCTTCAAAACCCTGGTCTTGGGGCTGTGTGATGTGCATGTACACATTTATGCTCCTGTCATCACAGAGCCACCTCATGGGGCCCAGAAAGACCCTGATAAGTGTCCTCCCAAGTCTTCCACGTAGAACCACAGCCCCTGGAAAAGTAACAAGTCTCCCATCCTGCCCACCCAAGCAGGACTTCTGCCCCTTCTCTCTTCAAGAAACCCAGACTTCCCTGGAATTCACCCAAATCAAAGGAATAAACTGATTCTAGATGCCATCAGAAAAGGCAAAAGACAACCAATCAGGTGACATTTTCAGTGCCCCTGAAAACTGGAACCCACTCTGGAAACATTTATTGTGGAGCAATCAGGTCTTCTATTAGTGTTCAATGTGGCCTCCAACATGCTGTAGTCTCCTTACTGTTTAATTACTAATCACTGTGACAGTGTGGTCTCATCCTCATTCCATGGTGGCAGGCACTGTGGCTCGCGATTTCATAGAAGCTCTTCTTCTTCTTTTTTTTTAATCTGACAGGCAGAGTGGACAGTGAGAGAGAGAGAGACAGAGAGAAAGGTCTTCCTTTTCTGTTGGTTCACCCCACAATGGCCTCTACGGCTGGCCCACCACACCGATCCAAAGCCAGGAGCCAGGTGCTTCCTCCTGGTCTCCCAGGCGGGTGCAGGGCCCAAGTACTTGGGCCATCCTCCATTGCCCTCCCGGGTCACAGCAGAGAGCTGGACTGGAAGAGGGGCAACTGGGACAGAATCTGGCGCCCCGACCGGGACCAGAACTTGGGGTGCCAGCACCACAGGCAGAGGATTAGCCTATTGAGCCGGCGCCGGCCAGAAGCTCTTCTAACCCACACAGATTTAACTCCCCAATGTTGACCCCTAGGAACAGAGACTAACCCAGACTTGAAAACAAATGAGGAGGTTATGTAGAATTGTAGGGTGGAGAATTTGCCTCCAGTCCTCTTCCCTCAAGGCTTGTTCTGAAATGTCAACCTTTAGAGCACCTCCTAAGTGTCCCAGTACTAACACAAAAATCATTCACCTGGGTACTGCTCTAAATGACCTGACTGTACTTTCTTATACTTTCTGTTCTCCTACATATTGCATCATAGCTACATCATAGTCTGCATCACAGCTTGTACAAGTCCAGGCTGGTTTTTGAGTAAACAGATAAAGATTGGAAACTCCTCTATGGTACTTAGGAGAATAACAGCCAGAGAAAAGATAAGTCAATTTTCATTTTCAAGCAGGTGCACACAATTGGGACAAATATTTACTCTCAAATTGAATCTGAAATACTAATGGTTAATGTTGGTTGATGTCACCCTAAAACTTAGGTGTCCAAAAGAGACAAAAGGTGGGCTTCGGTTAAAGATATATGGAGCCCAACTTTGGAAAAATCAGGTGGACACTATATCTTTACCTGCATTATTGAAAGAATTGTCACAATGCTTGGTTTTCCCTAGTCTGTGGAGACCTGGCAATGAGTATTACCTTCAGCCTAGACACTTTCTAGCACTACCTTGTATGTCCCACAGCCTGAGTCTCACATCATAATTTGAAGGTTAATTCTGTTAAAAAAAATCACCAGGTGATATTTTCAGGTGCGAATGTAAGCATAGGCATGCCAAATGCCTGCACACCTGAAGCATTACTCCTTCTGTGATTCGTAAGAGGAATACATTTATCGAAGACATATCGTCCCACTTAGGTGGAGGAGCTCAGGCTGTTTGGTATCAGGACTGCCTCTGATGTTCTGACTATAGCCTGAAGATCACCCCCAGCCTGCTGTCCACTCACTGCTGCCAGTGAGGGCTCCAGGACTAGCAACAGGCGTACCTGATGACCTCCCGTGGGAGCTTGCTACACACTCGTTAGCTGTGACTTGCCCCTGTAGCATGTCAAGTCTGCACCAGAAAGAAGGGTAAAATGGATTGACAGCTTGCCAAAGCCAGAGCTGTGTCTCACTCATCTCTGGTGGATAAGGCAAAAATGAGCACCTCGGCTTACTCGGCTCACTCCCTTGCAGTCCCCACACTCACTGCCCCACAGTGCTAGTGCCACAGAATTTGCTCAATGACTACTTAGTAAGGGTTGCGTGAATGCAAGTTTTCAAGATCTGCTCCTGGAGTCAAAGACCAGGATTTTCAAACATACTCTCTCCACCATCCTACACATCATCAATTTCCATAGCACATGATTAGTACCTGCTAAGAGCCCAGTGCTGTCCATGCAGGGGGATTCTCACTGCTGCTGTGCCCCATCTGCTAGATCAGAGCACACAACCTCTAGCATTTTTTAAAAGATTTATTTATTTATTTGAAAGAGTTACACAGAGAGAGAAGAGGCAGAAAGAGAGAGAGAGAGGTCTTCCATCCACTGATTCACTCTCCAGATGGCCACAACGGCCAGAGCTGTGCCGATCCAAAGCCAGGAGACAGGAGCTTCTTCTGGGTCTTCAATGCAGGTGCAGGGGCCCAAGGACTTGGGCCATCTTCCACTGCTTTCCCAGGCCACAGCAGAGAGCTGGATCAGTAGTGAAGCAGCTGGGACTCAAACCAGCGCCCATGTGGGATGCCAGCACTATAGGCAGCAGCTTTACCAGATATGCCACAGTGCCAGTCCCGACTTCTAGCGATTGTTATACAGCATCCCATGCCGACTTCCTAGGCTTCCTGGGTTTAAAACACGTAGATCAGCTAAATCATTTTGCCAGTCATTTATTTTTCAGTCAAGCTACAATTCATTTTTAGGATATTATCTAATCCATTTAAGAGTAATCCTTGTGTGTGTGTATGTTTTTAAGAAGCTAAATTGGAATTCTTTTTGTTTTTCCCCTAGGAAAATCTCTTCTTCGTGATGGAGTATCTCAATGGAGGAGATTTAATGTACCACATCCAAAGTTGCCACAAGTTTGATCTCTGCAGAGCAACGTAAGAGCCCTCTGAAGGGTTTGGGATTTTTCCATTGTTCTTGTCAGTTCCTGTGTATCCAGTGCTATTTGCCGTAGTCCCTAAGTCCTAGGACAAGGTAAACCCTTGGGACTAAGATAATCACTTCCCAACTTATAAAACTGAAATGTGTGTCATTTTTGCTTCATTCCTCTGTGCCTTGAAGCCAGCTACTTAGTTTCTTAAGGGACCACCTCAGTTCCTCAGGCTTCTAAATAAGTGAGTGCAGAAGCAAATGTTTCTCCAAAAGGAAAGCATTCAAATAGAACGCAAATCTTGAAGGTGGCCTCCTGGGAAAGAGCTTTTAGCTGAGGCCCTTTGCGGGGTGCTCCGAGTGGAACCACAAAGCATCTGGCTCCGGGGGCAGGCGAATTAGGAAACGGAAAGGCACTTACTCTTTTTGAGAATCCATCTTCACCTTCTTTCGCATCAAGCACCACAGACCGCAGCGAGATGCTGGAGGCTGCAAGTGCCTGATGGCACTGCAGCTGCTGGGGCCCGCAGCAGCTCCTGCTCCCCCTGCCTGCACTCTTCCTCCATGGGGGAACAATGAAACCACTGTGAGAGGGGACAGCTGGGACACCGACATTCCCTGTCAGAGCGCCTGCCTTCCAGCCCTGGCTCTGCGTCTTGCTAATGCAGACTCTGGGAGGCAGCAGTGATGACTCAAGTACTCGGGTCCCTACCACACATGTGGGAGACCCAGATAGAGTTCTCAGCTCTCTGCTTAGCCCTGACTGCTGCAGGCATTGGAGGAGTGAACCAGTGGATAGGATCTCTCTCTCTCTCTCTCCCTCTCTCTCTCTCTCTCTTCCTCTCTCCCTCTCTCTCTCCCTCCTTTCTTCCCTCCCCTTCTCTCTCTCAAATAAATAAAAAAAAAACTTTTATTAAAAAGTTCAGTGAACCCCATATTAACAAAACAAGCAAAACACTGCAATAGCAACACCACTATGACATTCAGTGGAAAGGAAGCAATTTCGCGGAGCTCATTTTAAAAGGATGAGAACCTGTGAGCTTCTCTTGGGTGATTCCTATTGAACTGGGTTGAAAGATGGACTTAGTGCACCAGCTCCTGCAACTGCCCTACTGAAATGGCTGTTTCATCAGTCTGCTGGGTTGAGCCCCATGGATCTCAGGTCCTGCAGGAGCCCTCAGAAAAGCACTCGGAGATACCTTTCGTGGATTTCTGCGATCACAGGGGAGATTTTCGTGCTAAAAGAGATTCACCTGAGTCACGGTCCTCCCCAGCTCTGTGACACATAAGCCGCCTCAGACACTTGCTATCCACTGTGTCCTACATACATTCCAGGGAGGAATTCTTCCATGTGACCCAACAAACCTCACTTTCAGGAAACTCTCCCCTAACCGAGGATACTTCAAAAAGTTTATGGAAAAAGGAAATGAACAGATACCACATATTTTCCATGAACTTTTTGAAGACCTTAATCGCAGCAGTGATGGTATAAACTCATTTCCTTTAAGGCTGTCTTCACTGAAGATGAAACTTATCATATTCCGTTTTCTGACATCCCTTTTTCCACCTCTTGTGCTCTGTTTCTTGCCTGGGCTAAACACTGTCAGTATGAAAATAAGCAGCCAGGTCTGTTTGGAACGGTTTGCATACAGGTCTCTCTGAGCTCCAAGCAGAGTTTAAAAGAGGGAAATTATTCTCTTATTGTAGTATACTAAAACATTTAATGTTTGTATGTGTTTGATAAGCAAAAAAATGACAATAGTGCAAAATGTCAGAATAAGCACTAGGTAGAGGCGGGACTAGATAATAGGCCAGCCCTGTTTCATGCTCTCAGCCTCTAATTTCTTATGTGTAGGATGCATAACAGCTTCCTTGTTATGGTTAAACACAATTAGGTGTGTGTACCGCCTAGGCAAGCACCGCAGGTATAGAAAATGCCAGAACAGGTCTAGGGCTTTTGCTTTGTTCCGTTAATGCATTCCTGTTGAACCTTGGCTCTCTTTCCCTCAGGTTTTATGCTGCTGAAATCATTCTCGGTCTTCAGTTCCTTCACTCCAAAGGAATTGTCTACAGGTAACACTCTGCTCTTGGGAAGCAAATGCCAAAATCCTGGCTTTTCCTGGCCCAGTTAATTCGATCATTGTTCAGAACTGATGGGAGTGTGGCAGCAAAACAATTCATATCAGAAGGCGGATTTTTTTTTTTTTAAGAGGGAAGGGTTTGGCTGATAGACTTAACTCCAGAAAAGGCACGGAAGTAGGAATAAGGGGGGCAGTGGAGGAGTATCAAACAGATGGGTCCAGCTTTGGTGGGAAGGCTGTTCCTGGGTAAAATTCACAAGAATTGGGGCCCTGAGTTGTAAAGAAGCAGGAAACAGGGACCAGCACCCTGGCACAGTAGGTTAATCCTCCACCTGTGGTGCCAGCATCCCAAATGGGTGCTGGTTCTAGTCCCTGCTGCTCCTCTTCCCATCTGGCTCTCTGCTATGTCCTGGGAGAGCAATGGAAGATGGCCCAAGTCCTTGGGCCCCTGCGTCCACATGGGAGACTGAGAAGAGGCACCTGGCTTCTGGCTTCAGATTGGCACAGTTCCAGCCATTGCAGCCATTTGGAGAGTGCACCAATGGGAGAAAGACCTTTCTCTCTGTCTCTTCCTCTCACTGTCTGTAACTCTACCTCTCAAATAAAAATAAAATCTTTTAAAAAAATAAAAAGAAGCAGGAAACAGCCATCATTCCCATCTGCTTGTGGATCCTTAATAAAAGAGGCATTCTCTAAGATGCAATAAGCCTGGTTTGGATTAAATGAGCTAGAAAATATGCAAACTCTAGAACCACCCTAGAATATAATGGAGCAACAGAAAAGGACCTGAAGATTATTTAGTTGATAATAAAAGTGCTCCCAAACTATATACGTGAAGCAACTTCCAAATGCTTCCATATGAACCATCTCGTTCAATGTCACAGAAAAAATGTCACAGAGAAAAGCAAGGTAAGCACCAGCATCCCCACTTTATGATGAGTAACCAGAGGCAGGAGGGGAGTGGCATGGCCGAGCTACTTAACCACGCACTGGGGTTTGGAAGCCACATTGACTCCTCCTCGCCCCTTCTGAATGGAAATCTTTGCTTATATTGACCACATATCCAAATGAAAGCCTTCTCCTTAATTCTCTGCTATACTTGATCCACTGGTGGGCTGTTCTTTGAGCAGAAAAATGCTTGCAGAGACAAACCAGGGGCCTCGGACTCAGAAATTCTCCTGCATGTCCTGATGTCCTGAAGAGGGTATGTCAGGGGGGAGCAGCCAGACGTGCCTCACTGGCCTTTAGGTTCTGTGGCATCTCCAGGTGTCTCCTAGGAACCCGACAGGTCTTCTCCTGCCTTTCATCCCCGCCTTCATGGAGTATGCATGGCGGCTTCTGGACTTTTCCTGTCCCAACTTAGACCTCTCAAAGCTTCGAGGACTCTTTATCTTACAACCCTAAACACACCTGGCTCACTTTAGAAGGCAGATTGAACATTTGAAATGAAGTTTATTATTCCTAGCCTGAGACCCAGAGAACATTTATTTTTAGACTCACTTAAAACATATCCTCATTTATCTTAGCAAGACCAGTGTGATGATAAAGTCCAGGTGAGCTTGGTATAAAGGGATGCCAGAAAGGACAAGGACTCAGTTTGCCTCTTCACCCACTGGCGGGCTCTATGGACTGAAATAAATCATATTACCTCTAAGAGCTTTTGTTTTCCATCAGAAATAAAAATCTGAATAGAATTAGTAACTTCAGACTAATTCTATTCCTGGGTAAAATTCTTCAGGGCTTTTGTATGAATCAAATGATAAAATGCATCTGTAAGCAAGAGAATCCAATGCAAATATTAGATATTATGTTCATTATTCTCAGGAACCATGTATAGCTTCACAGCTAGGTATCTGGCTCCCTAGAAACGACCCCCAAACCAATCTGCCACCAAATTTCTAGAAACGTATGTACATGTCTGTTAATGATGCACATATGTTCATTATGGCAGAAATTCAAAATCATATCAATATGGCAGAGCATGTGGATTATATAAGGAACTTGAAACTTTGGTATAAGGAGTTAAACAGCACCCTAGTTGGGCTCGCTGGAATACAATTCATAAGTTACAATGAAATTGTATATTTAGATCCAGTGAATGATCAGGGAAAGGATGGCTAGCATTCTCTGATGAAACGACTTAGATGTATTGCACATCCTTAGTCATGATAATGGAAATTCGACAGCATATGATTAGGCTGACAGAACAGAACTGACACAGCTGTGAGGTATACTCCAGGCCTCCCAGTCAGACAGAAGGTGCCGGTAATGTGTTGGTAAGAGAGATCACCAAGCTCTAGCTAACTTACTCTCATGGAAGATGGAGAATACACAAAAAGGGGACAGTTACTCATGTATTAACTGCAACTGATAATCACCAGTTGGTGATGAATTCATTCAACAAAGACTTCCTGGATACTCTGGGCATGTTATATTTTTTTCAAAACAGTCATAATCCAACAAATAGCAAACAATACAGAGCCCCACCCTCATGATGCTTCCAACTGAACAAGGAAGGGAGCCAAAACAGGGATGAGAAGTTTAGAAGAATATGAATATTTCAGGAGTACCAATAGTATGATTCCATGTATATAAACTTTAAGAGCTGGCAAAGCTGTGATAAAAATCAGAATAGTAATTACTTCTAAGATGGGCACTGTGGGTAATTGTTTGGGAAGAACCTGGAACCCTCTTTTTGGCCATAGTTTATTTTTTAATTTTTATTAATATAAAGAGAACAAATTATTAATATAAATATTATTAATATAAATTAATATAAAGATTATTAATATAAAGAGAACAGATTTCATAAGCACAGTCCTGAGAAGCATTCTCCTCTTTCTCTCCCTCTCTCCCTCCCCCAACCTCCTTCCTTCCTTCCCTTCTTTTTTCTTTAAATTTTTCAAAGACAAAATTTAAATCCACTCTGTAGTCACAGGCTTAATGTACCACTAACTATCATATTCAATAAGCAAAAAGTAGAAACACTACGGTTCTGCAGGAGTATAAACAAGGGCTGAAAGCAACAATCAAATCACAAGATGTCTGTTTCATTCCTATTTTTTGTATTCTGTATTAACTACCACATATCAGAGAAAACTATATAATATTTGTCCTTTGGGGACTGGCTTATTTCACTAAGCATAACAGGTGTTTTTTTTTGTTTTGTTTGTTTGTTTGTTTGTTTTTTGACAGGCAGAGTGGACAGTGAGAGAGACAGAGAAAGGTCTTCCTTTGCCGTTGGTTCACCATCCAATGGCCGCCACGGCCGCACACTGTGGCCAGCGCACCGCGCTGATCTGAAGCCAGGAGCCAGGTGCTTATCCTGGTCTCCCATGGGGTGCAGGGCCCAAGCACTTGGGCCATCCTCCACTGCACTCCCTGGCCACAGCAGAGAGCTGGCCTGGAAGAGGGGCAACCGGGACAGAATCCGGCGCCCCCACCGGGACTAGAACCCGGTTTGCCGGCACCACAAGGCGGAGGATTAGCCTAGTGAGCCGCGGCGCCGGCCTAAGCATAACAGTTTTTAGATGCATGCATTTTGTTGCAAAGACAGGATTTCACTGTTTTTCATTGTGAGTAGTATTTCTCTCTCTCTCTCTCTATATATATATGTATATATATGTGTGTGTATATATATATATAAAACATTTTCTTTATCCAGTCATCAGTTGATGGACATTTGGATTGATTCCATATCCTAGCTGTTGGAACCCTTCTTTATTTTAATTTGATTGATTGGATTCATAGTTCAGTATACACATTTGCAAAACCTATCAAATTGTGTGTGTATATGATCTATGTGTTTGTGCATAAAATATTATAATTGAAAACATGAAGACTGTAAGTGTAGCATTGCCCAAAATATTATTCAATCAATGCATACTTTTCCCAACAAGTCTACTGTAAGGAGCAGCAGCTTTGTCAGATGTTTGAGCAATATGGCGAGTTCTTTTTCCATGATGCTTGCCTTATGACATGAAACCTCTTATAATATTCAGGCCAAGCTGTTGCTTCTTCTTTCTGTACATAATTGGATGATTCTCCCTAACAAATGAACACAGAGAATATGAGTATCAATGAAGTTACATGAACCACTTGAACATTTGTGTAACAAAAGCTAGACGTTATTAAGAATCTGGAACCAAGAATGCAGACTGATCAGAAACTAAGGCAATTTCTCTATTACCATGTTTCTCTTTGGGTTTATGGGAGTGCTAGTCCCAGCCACTTCTTTTTTTTTATTTTTATTTTTTTTTTATTTTTTTTTACAAACTGGTCTTCTTTTTCTCCAGGGGCATGCTAGAACAAGCAGCCCTAGGTATCTTCTCAATTCAGGCACCTACCAAAACAGATTAGTGCCCTATATTGTTATTACAGTATCCTATAAGAAACCAGTTTAGGCTGGCGCCGCGGCTCACTAGGCTAATCCTCCGCCTTGCAGCACCGGCACACCGGGTTCTAGTCCCGGTCGGGGCGCTGGATTCTGTCCCGGTTGCCCCTCTTCCAGGCCAGCTCTCTGCTGTGGCCAGGGAGTGCAGTGGAGGATGGCCCAAGTGCTTGGGCCCTGCACCCCATGGGAGACCAGGAGAAGCACCTGGCTCCTGCCATCGGATCAGCGCGGTGCGCCGGCCGTGGCGGCCATTGGAGGGTGAACCAAAGGCAAAAAGGAAGACCTTTCTCTCCGTCTCTCTCTCTCTCACTGTCCACTCTGCCTGTCGAATAATAATAAAACAAGAAAAAGAAAAGAAAAGAAACCAGTTTAGTCTTGTTAACCACCTGTGGTCCAGTCAGCTGGGAATAGGTTACTTACCAGACCCTTTGGGAACAGAGTGCTTGAGAAGGGAACCTGTGAGAAAATTCTCAAAGATACAGTAAGGGATCAAAACCAGGGCTATTCTTACTTTCTCCCAAGTTGTCTTAGCTACCTAAGGAAGACAGTGGCAGCCATCACCAATCACATATCCTAGACTTTAAAAAGAGAATTTCAGCAAGCTTAGAAAATCGTGGACAGATCACATAAAGGCAAAGAAAGCTGAATGCTGTAGGAAAAACTCAAATGTATAAAATTGCATTGACTAAAATTGGTCAGATAAAATTTTAAAGAAATTGATGTCAACCTGAATTGTCCTTTTTATTTTTATTTATTTATTTATTTATTTATTGACAGGCAGAGTGGACAGTGAAAGAGAGACAGAGAAAAAGGTTTTCCTTTGCCGTTGGTTCACCCTCCAATGGCCGCCGCGGCCGGCGCACCGCACTGATCCAATGGCAGGAGCCAGGTGCTTCTCCTGGTCTCCCATGGGGTGCAGGGCCCAAGCACTTGGGCTGTCCTCCACTGCACTCCCTGGCCACAGCAGAGAGCTGGCCTGGAAGAGGGGCAACTGGGACAGAATCCGGTGACCTGACCGGGACTAGAACCCGGTGTGCCGGTGCCGCAAGGTGGAGGATTAGCCTATTGAGCCACAGCACTGGCCTGAATTGTCCTTTTTAAAAATTAATTGATGCATTTATTTTACATTGTGTCTGAAAGGCAGAGAGAGAGCTAGAGAAATCTTCCACCCACTGATTTGCTCCCCAAATGCCCACAACAGCAGAAGCTGAGCCAGGCTAAAGCCAGGAACCTGAATTCAATCCTGGTCTCCAGCGTGGGTGGCAGAGACGCAAGCACTTGAGCCATCACCTGCTGCCTTCCAGTCCAGGCACTTTGACGTGGTATACGGACATCCCAAGTGGTGTTTTAACCATCGTACCAAATGCCCACCCCTGAATTGTCTTGTAAAGGTCAATTTCATAGTCACAGGGTGAGAAATAAGTGGGATAATGTCAGCTTATGTTTAATAAAGACTCCTTGAAGATTTAGTTTACAGTAAACTCAATGTTGACCGTTATCATTATGAAGGCACTAAAACAACTAGAGCAGTATGTTAGGCAAGAGGGTGCATACAGAAGCTGATAAAGCCCCCTTCCTCTGCACTAATCAGATGATCTAGCTGGAGGGTACTAGCTCCATTCTGAGCACCTCATTTCAAGAAGAAAGTGGACAAATTTGGGGTATTCGGAGGGAGGAGCCAGAACACTGAAGGGTCTGAAAACCGCATCATGTGAGGATCAAAGTCCCTTAATTTGGTGAAAAAAAGATAAGACAAAATTTGATATCAATTTTCAAATATTCAGAATACCACATGTAATAATAGAAGAAAGAATCCTTAGACCAAGATATAAAAATCACAGAGAGGCATCATTTGGCTCATTCTGTAAAAGCTTCTTTATTTATTTGAAAGGCAGAGTCACAGAGATGAAAACGCAATGAGATCTTTCATCTGCTATTTTGCTCCCCAAATGACTCTAATGGCTGGAGCTGAGCCAAGAAGAAGCTACGAGCCTGAAACTCCAATACGGGTCTTCTGTGTGGTTGGAAGGGGCCCAAGTTATTTGATTCATCTTCTGTTGCTTTCTCAAGCACATTAACAGGGAGCTGGATTGGAAGTGAGGCAGCTGAGACTCGAACTGGTATTATGGGTGTTACAGGCAGCTGTTTAACTCTGCACCACAATGCCAGCCCGGCTTATTTATTTTTCAGACAAATACTATCAATTACATTTACCTAAGAATAGAATAGGCCATTTTAAGAGGATGGTATTTCTCTGAGAAGAGAGGAATTTGTTGAGGTGGTGTCCAGATCTCAGATGGACTCTGGTCCTAAAGGCATTCTTTGTTAAGAATGGACTTCAATTGGACTTGTAATTAGGTGCAGCATAATTTATTCACAAAGACAAAAACAGAAATGTACAGGAAAATTATGGAGAGTAGTATAATTTTTAGGCTTTTCTCCCTCACCTTTACCCCCAGCAGAAGTATCGGGGTAGAGTCTCAGATTGGTGCTCAGTCCTTCTTATATTGAGCAGTACTTTTGGGTAAGACAGAAAAAGAGGAATTAGCAACAGCCTGCCACTCTGGAAGAACCGTCTTGTCCATACCCTCTGTGTGTGAGTGGATCCAGGTGCAGGCTGTGTAGTACAGACATCAAGAGGATGGATACAGAAGCTGATAGCACCAAATGTCAGCCCAACATGATGGGTCATTGTCAGCTGTCTCTCCACATCCAGAAGAGATATTTCATGAAGGCTCCTCTTAAAATGAAAGATGCGACACTGGAGAGATAGCAGCACAACTGTGCAATCTCTTAGCACCTACTGAGTCATCCATATAAGAACTATGGATCTGAAGGCGTGTCAGGTGCTGAGTGGAGCTAAAAGGACTCAAGCAGGCTGACCTGGTTCAGCAAGGGCAGTGGGAAAAAGTCCTGAGCAGGAGCCAGGAGTCAAGGAGCCAAGGAAAGGAGCAAGGAGCAGTGAGCGCCCTGAGCAGGGCTGTGGCCTGGGGAACAGGGTTGCAGGAGGGGGAAGGGACCCCCTCTCTGAGCTGTGCTGAAAACAGCAACCATGCTTCTGTGGCAGTTTTACTTGAACAGCATTGCATTTGTTGAAGTGAGCTTTTGCCTTGCCTTTTTAATTTTCTAGGGACCTGAAGCTAGACAATATCCTGTTAGACAAAGATGGACATATCAAGATAGCGGACTTTGGAATGTGCAAGGAGAACATGGTGGGAGACGCAAAGACAAATACTTTCTGTGGGACTCCTGATTATATAGCTCCAGAGGTAAGAGTGTACTTCCCCGAGGCCCTGCAACCTCCCTCCCCAGCTCAACACACCACTGCCTCTTGCTGCCCTTCAAAGTCAGAAGGTTTTACTTATTTTGGTGCAGGACTGCTATTTGCTTTTCTAAGTATTTCACAAATGCAGTCACACAGCTGGATTGCTATTATTATCTGAGGGAGAATGCTATGCATGCTAATGATGACATCTCTCCCAAGCCTTAAATCACTCACTGTTTCCCTTCAGTCATGACTCTGACCCATCATCCCCAGCCTCCAACCATATTCACTCTGTTCAGATCAACCAGAATGAGGAGCCCCTGGTGAAGAGCTGGATGAAAACAGGTATCCCCCTGGACAAAGTGGTTTCATTGCAGGATCAGAAGACCTGAATGATGGTTCCAGGCTGCCACTGTGTGAGCATGGATGGATTGCCAAAGCCTCCTTGACCCCGCTTGCTTGTCTATAAAATGGGTCTAACACTTGTGTCACAACATTGTCATAAGAATTAAATGAAGGAACATACAAAACTCAAGCCTCACACCCCACCTCTGCCAAAATAGTAGCAAATAACAACAATGATAACAAGGCATGTCTATCATATTCTGAGCACCCAGAGGAATGGCATTTGCTCAGAAGTCACCCATCCGTCCAAGTAAACACACCTCTTCCCTTTTAAGAGAATCTTCTCCAGTTGCCCACTCCAGGGAGCTTAGAGACTCTCTTACCTTCTCTTCATATAATAGTTCCTTCTCTTTATATAATAGTCTCCTAGTTACTCCTTACCTCTGGCTTTCCCTGCACAACCAGATGTTTGCACTAATGTCAGGAACAATTTCTCATTCACTCTGAAAAACCCTTCTTTAATTTCAAAATAATTATAGATTCACAAGACTTTGCAAAATAGCACAGAAGCATCTGCTGTAAGTACCTTTTACCCAGTTCTCCCCAGGGGTTACATCTTACATAGCTCTCGTGCTACATAAAACCAGGGAGGTGACACTGGTTCTATACCATTTCCTCACAAGGTTAGATTTTTAAAATTTTTTATTTATTTATTTGAAGCACAGCAGGGTCAGGGGGTGGAGGTCAGGAAGCAGGCAGAGCTTCTATGCACTGGTTGACTTCTCAAATGCCTGCAACAGGCAAGGATGAGCCAGGCTGAAGCTGGGAGCCAGGAACTCAGTCCAGGTCTCCCACATGAGTGGCAGAAACTCAATTACTTGAGTCATGACCTGCTGCCTCCCAGTAGGTATCGATGCAAGGCGAGACATGAGTGTCTTAACTGCCAGGGCAAAAGCCCACTCCACATGGATAGATTTGCATGATCTTATTTTCTTTCATCTCCAAGGACCTGTTGTAGTTGATTAACAAGTTAATTAATGCATAAATGGGGGCAGAGTTGTTTGATAAAGACAGCGATGGATCTCTGATTTCCTGGGTTGTAAAACAATGGTGGTAGCAAATCCTTGTCACTGCCAAATAAGTGGCAGCCCAAGCCCGGGAACTTGTGGATTTGCCCTGTGATTGTGTGGTATTTAATTTTAATTTAATCTTAAAGGCAAGGTTGGCCCCTGTTCCATAAGAAATTACAGCTTTTAACTTCCAAGGAATTGTTGAGCTCACAGAACTCGGCTCATTGATTTTTTTTTTTTATTTTTGACAGGCAGAGTGGACAGTGAGAGAGAGAGGGACAGAGAGAAAGGTCTTCTTTTTCCATTGGTTTACCCCCAAATGGCCACTCTGGCAGCACGCTGCAGCCAGCGCACAGTGCTGATCCGAAGCCAGGAGCCAGGTGCTTCTCCTGGTCTCCCATGCGGGTGCAGGGCCCAAGCACTTGGGCCATCCTCCACTGCACTCCCAGGCCACAGCAGAGAGCTGGATTGGAAGAGGAGCAACTGGGACAGAATCTGGCACCCTGACCGGGACTAGAATCCGAGGTGCTGGTGCCACAGGCAGAGGATTAGCCTAGTGAGCCACAGCACCGGCTCAGCTCATTGATTAAATAACTTCCCGATATTATAGGAATTTGTGCTTCCTTCAGGTTAGCACAAATACAGATATCAATGCAGATATCAATATCCCAGTTCAATGTGAGGCCAAAGCTAATTAAGGCACAAGCGAAGGAGTCCCATAGGAGGAATTTAGTTCATGTACTAGATTCTGCTTAATAATAATTCTAAATAGATTCACTATTCTAAGTACACATCGCTGTCACCCTCAGCAGAGACTCCCTTTATCATCCTTTCAACCTCACTGCTGCTACCTCGATTTCTTCCCTGTCTACCTTGGACGTCTTGTGTGTCTGCCTTCCTCTGATTCACTCTTGTCTGCAAAGACTGTGAATTACCTCCTTTCCTAGGCAAAGTTTCCTTCCTGCTTCTGTTTCTTTCGGCGTCTTCCAGAATTTAGCTTCAGCCATTGCTTCTCTCTCTGCAGCATCACTCTTTCACATTCAGTCATGCTTATGGTAAACCCATACTTGCTGCTCTTCTTGTCTTACTGTAGCTGCTCCCTGAGCTGCTCTACTTATGGCTGGTGGTTTTTACACCAGAATTAATGTGAGGAACCCATACTTCTTGCTCCAGAACTCTATGTCCATGTTTCTGCTTGAGATCTCCAACTAAATACCACAGAACTTTCAAATACAACAAATCTAAAGCCTACTTACTGGGGCAGGCATTTGGCACAGCAGTTAAGACCGCACTCGGATGCCTGCCTCACATCCTGGAGTGACTGGGTTTGAATCTCAACTCTGCTCTAATGCACTCTATGATGGATGGCTCAAGTACTTGGGTCCCTGCCAGCCATCTGGGAGACTCATTGAAGTCCAGGCTCTTGGCTTCAGTCTAGACCAGCACCAGCTGTTGCAGGCTTTTGGGGAGTGAACCAGTAGATGGGAGGCCTCTGTCTGTCTGCCTCTCACTCTCTTCCTGCTTTTCAAATAAACAAAAAATTATTTCTTTTTAAACTTCACTTCCTATGTTTTTGCATTCTTGGCCAATTGCACGCCAACTATCCAGTTGTTGAGATGGAGAAGTATATGAGTCATCCAAGCTTTCTCCTTTCTTACCCCCAAACCCAGTCAAGAGCAAGCTTTCTAAAACTGAGCCTCTCACACCTTTCCTAATCTTGTGACTGAATAAAGACTCTCCCTTCATTCCTTCTTTTCTCTCAAAATGGATCACTTTGATTTATTCCCCAAACATCCTTACTCATGTTAAACATCAATATGTCTGCTTGCTGTGGGCCCCAGCCACACCCTCCATCACTTTCTCTGCCCCTTTCCATCACCAGTGCATCCTCTCTGTGTATTTCAAACATTTTGGTCATGCTTCCTCTTCAATTACATAAGCATTCCCAACATATGTTTGTCTATATCTGGGTCACTGACTCTAGAGTCTGTATGTTATAAAATATGCCCCCAAATGGACGTAATCTGGCTGAACTGTAGATGAGATCAACAAAAATTGTAAATAACTAAATTTTATTCCGTTTACTAACAGCGCACAAATGCTTATGCTTCATTAAAATCATAAGATTGAATAAACCCTTTTTAAATCTTCATTGAACACTTAGGGCTCTGGAAGATCTAATTCACTGATTTCGATTCTTAGTCTTCATGGCTGTCATTGCTAGTAAAGAGACCTCACAAAGCTACAGTAAAAAAGGGCTTAATCTGTGCTTTAGGCAAGACTCACTGCAGAGCACAGTGGATATGAGTTCATCATTCAAAGCAGTGGTTTTGGTACATTCAGTATTGTTTGTAGCAAGCCTCTCACTGACTGATGAACTAATGAATTCATCATTGCTTTGAACTTTGTTATTTATCGCTGACAGACATCACTCTGCCGTTTTCTGATGCTCTGCTTAGGTCTGCATTATTTACTGCAATATTATATTCAATCCAATCCTCTTCATAGATAACTTTTTAAAAAAGATAAAAATATGTATTTTATTTTTTTGAAATAAAGGCAGAATGACAGAGAAAGAGATTTTTCCATCTGTTGTTTCACTCCTCAAATGGCCACAAAGCCTGAGACTGGGCCAGGCCAAAGCCAGGAGCCTGGAATTCCATCAGGGTCTTCTACTTGGGTGGCAGGGTCCTAAGCACCAGAGCCATCTTCTGCTGCTTTCCTAGGAGTACTAGCAGGAAGCTGGGTCAGAAGCGCAGCAGCCAGGACTCAACCAGACATTCTGATGGGGGAATGCCAGCATCACAGAAAGCAACTTACCACGCCGAGCCCTGTAGATAACATGTTAAGGACTTCTCACTGTGAAAATTAATCTGGTTAAAATAGAACCCACCACAGTAATACACACTGTGAGTCGTGGCAAGTAAATGAAGGAGCCCAGTCATCATCAAGCTCCTTCTGTGATGAGGCTCCTGATTCTGCCTCCAAACCCCTCCTTCAGTGCAGCTTTCTCAGTGATGACATCCATGTCACTCTGGGGAGTAAATACCCAAAAAACCTAAATTGTTTTCTCATTTCAGATATTTGGTAGAAGAATACAAATAAATACAAGGTCTGGTTTTCCTCCCATGTCTCATGGGATGATCTGACTCACCCCTGGGTGTGTGTGCCATCTTGAAGCCCACTGCCCTACTAAGTTGCTAGATTTATACTTTTGTGCAAAACCCATCACCACAGTGCTTTAAAGATTTCCAGAAATCCCCATTATTAATTGAATACAAGCCAAAATCCTGAGTCAAGGTCCTAACAATATGTCCAGGTATAGACAAGTGCTGACCTTCCCCAGCTGGGACAAATTGTGTCTTGTCTATCCCACACAGCCTGTGTCCTTGGCCTGTGTTCACCCCCACACCCACAGGCATCTTCCCCTAAAGATACCCTTGACATCATGAAACATTCTACTGTCTCCTTGCCACTGCACCCATGTTTCTCTCCATCAGAGATTGTGACTTACATACCCTATATCTCATCTCCTCGCCACAGCTCAGAGCAGGCCCCATTACCTGTTTCCTAAATAAGTGACCCCACATGTCCATCTTGAAGCCTGTACTGGATTCCTTACCTCTTGGGCTCCCTACACAGCAGTCCTCTGCAACCTCCCCATTCTGCACCCAACAAAATCCTCTCCACTTTGTAAGGCTTCACTCCCATGCCTTCTGCCCATGTGAAGTTTTCCTTTCTCTCACTCATTCACCCTCTGCCTTCTCCCACCTCAAAAACGAAACACAACTCAGGTGTCCTGTCCTTCCTCTGTCCCTTCGAGGCATTGTCACCGTCCTTCCCTGCAGTTGTAAGTACATGCTGCATTGTGTTGCCTTTATGAGTCTCCAGTTGTCAGCTCCCTATTGAAGTATATGTTCCTTCAGGGAAGGGACTCTGTGGATAGCAAAAAGCCAAATCAGCAAGGAATTAAAAAGATAGGAGTGCTAAACAGCTGGGACAAAGACCCTGGGACTCATCTGGAAGATGCTAATCGCACCTTTCTGGAGAATTGAAATTACAGAAATGAACGCATATTAGAGCAGCACCAAGAGCAAGGCAGGCAAAGCACACTGTGCCCCCAACAGCCAGCCAGTGGCCTCACCAACTGTAGACCTAAAGCTCCTCGCAGAAGCTCCAGTGTTCCTTCTGTCTTTCCAGTTCAGGAGCAAAGTGGGTCCCATGCACACCCAGAAGTCCAAATTCAACTGGGCGATGATTAGGGAAACCGTGAAGTAGGGCAGCTTCCTACTTTCTGATGCACGCAGTGAGTCCATATGGGCTTTCAAGCCCTGGAAGCAGCTCTCTAGAGAAAGCAGGAATCGCTTGGAAACCAGAGCGATATCAGCCCTGTGTGGTTACCAGGCCCGTGAGCCACACTTACCTCAATAAGTGCATCAGCACAGCAGCCTGGGAACAGCTTTACTCAACAGTCCCGTGAGGCTCCTGGCTTCAGACTGGCCATACCTCGCTGCTGCAGCCATTTGGGGAGCAAATCAGTGGGTGGGACAGACCTCTCTCTCTTTATGCCTTTCTCTCTGCTTGTCATTCTCCCTTTCAAATAACTTCATAAATATTTTTAAAAGAAAGGTCTTTAACCTCCCTTGTTCCAGTCATCGGGGCTAACAGTTCCGACATCATGTGTCTCTTATCAATTAAAGACATAAATGAAGACCCCAAGCATATCAACATCCCTTAAGCAGAAAATTAGTATTGTTTCTTCCCCCTAACATGAGCCTGAAATGTTTTTACCAAGATCACCTAGCCTAGAAGTCTTAATTTTCTTTAAAATGGCCTCCAGTCCTCCAAATTTCTTGACTTTTGTCCTGCCTAAATGAAATTGTTTAAAAATTCTGTTGCTCAGAGCAATCTCTGGTTGCTTTGGCACCCCCTTGTGTCACATTCTGGGAACTACATGTGATCCTGGCCCCACTTATGGCAAATTTGACTTACCTGAGATTGTGCTTGTTAATTTTGTTCTAGACTATTTCTTAAGGCAAAACCCAGGGTTTGCTAAATTGTAAGGTGAACTGTAGTACTTAAATACTGAATTAAAGTAAGTGAGTAGAATTTTCTTACCGTAAATTGGTGGCAGATTATAAAATTATCTTTGCAAGCTGTCTCTTTTCACAAAGGGGAACAAGATCCTCAAGAAAGATAACTCATCATGGCACTCACAGTGACTTCCATGTGACAAATCAACCTTGTAATAAGTGGCCAAAGAAGAGTGCCACTTTTTAGAAGTGAGTTCAGGGGTCTTCTCAAAACCGCACAGTGAGGGATGAAGCTAAAAGTAGAACGTGTGACATTTTATGTACCATCAAAACTGTTTTTTAGTATTGTTGTTGGTGGTGGTGGTGTATGTGTGTGTGTGTGTGTATTTATCAGATGACACTTGACGTTATCCCTAAGCCACACTCTGTGTTGATCCCTCATCCTGGGATAGGTCCTGGGGTTGGGAAGCAGGAATAGTGGCTGTGCACATCTTTCTGCTCCATCAGAAAATCTCACCAACATCAAATCAGATAGCTTCCCTAGAATATTCTGGAATGTCTTTAATTCTAATGTCATTTTTCTTCCTTAAGGCCATCAGTGATACAAGTCTGCCCTTCATGCCAAAGAACCATTTAAGAAGAAAGGGGAAAATTCTGCTCCATGAGTAGCACCAATAGCAAAATGACCTGTGCATGTTTGTGTGTGTTTCTGCGCATGTGTTCATGGTGCACTGAACTACACCCGAGACACATTGCAGGCAGAAAGGATGGTCACCTGTGAGAGGGCACTAGTCTTGCTTTTTCCATTCTTTAGTGCTTCAGTTTTTGTGCTGAAATACTGTTGTCCTTTCTCCATTTTGTTTTGGGTGATAGAGCAGCTTGCCCCCAACCCATCTTGAGAGCAGCAGTCGTGAATTGAGAAAATACTGTTTTCTCTCCTGCATTTAGCACATTGCTGTTGTACTCCAAATATGTACTAGAATTTAATTTTTACTGTAATGAGAAATACATAACAGAAAATTTCCCATCTCGACCATTTTTAAGTGTGCAGTTCCAGAATGTTCAGTACATTTCAAAGTTGTGCAATGGATCACTAGAACGTTTTCATCTTGAAAAACCTGAATCTTGACAACCATTAAACAAAAATACCCCCTCTCTCCCATCCCCTGGCCACCACCATTCCACTTTCTGTCTCCAGAATTCAAATACCCAGAGTACTTTAGGGCACACCTATTATATGTGAAGTTATGCTCTACATCAGTTTTGTGACTTGCTTGGTTCACTTCGCAGGATCCCTCACCCATGTAGCTTGTGACAGGACTTCCTAAAGACTGACCAATATTCCACTTGTGGATAGCCCACATTTTATTCAGTACTTCCACAGTCCTTCATCTGCATATCTGGCTGTCACCATTCTACTCTTAGCTTCCAAGTTTGACTTTTGCAGTTTCCATGTATAAATGAGGTCGTGTGCTATTTGCTATCCTGTGCCTGGCTTGTTTCATTTAGCATGATGTCACCCTGGTTCATCCATGTTGCCTCATATGGCAGAATTTTCTTATTTATAAGGCTGAATAACATCCTCTCATATATCCACACCACCTTTTCTTAAGCCATTCACCTTTTAATGGACCCTCAGTTTGACTGTGTTTCTGACTATTGTGAATAACTCTGCAATGAGCATGGGAGTGCAGATAGCTCCTTGAGAAATGGGTTTCACGTCGTCCCCACTGCACTGTTTTCTTTATCCATTCATCCTTTGAGAGATCCTACTAGGTACTGTTTCAGAGATAATGACAGCGTGGATTGTAGGTAGGACAAGCTTTGAGCAGAGTGCCAAGGGCACTCTCTACCTTCCAACATTAAACAGGAAAGTTGCTGGGAGGGCAACATGCAAAGCCTTTTGTGCCAGTGAGTTGGTGAAAGGATAGATGTATTTCAGAAAGTTGGGTGGAATTCCAGACTTTAAATCCTCTTCCCAAATCAATAGACCAAACCAGGTGCTTCCCAGAACCCACCACAGAGCTCTACACAATAGCTCTTCCAGATCTGTGAATTCTAGATTTGAATACTCTGTTATACTAAACTCCTTCCTGACATAGACACTTAGTTTGATTCTGCATTCACATTAACTACAGATGTTGCTCCTATGTTGAGTAGTCATTTCTACCTGGGCTTGAAGGGAGAGACTTGGGCAGATGCTTGATTGCAGCAAAGACTCAGTGCATAAGTGAAGAAAGCTGGGCGTGGCTTGTATGTTCACGTCAGAGGTCCTGGAGTACCGAGATGCACACCAGCTTTGTTAGATCCAATATCTACCACCAAAAACCTCACATCACAGATGGGAAAATGAAAGAAAACAGCACAGTTTCATTGTTTCACTTAAAGCCAAGGGGAAAGTAGAAATTGAAACTCAAACTCAAACACAAAAATCTTGGCATGTGAAGTCATTTCTATCCAGTTGCTAGCTTGTCAAAAAATAGTTTTCCTTGTCATCTTTATCAACACTGCATATTATTTTCCCTATTGATTGTTTACTGAGTGGCCTTGACAAATTTAGGAATACTTTTTACTAATCCACCTCATTTCTATGAATTATGTCTCTGCCTTTTGCTCTCACAGATCTTGCTAGGTCAGAAATACAACCATTCTGTTGATTGGTGGTCCTTTGGTGTTCTTCTGTATGAAATGCTGATTGGTCAGTCACCTTTCCATGGGCAAGATGAAGAAGAGCTGTTCCATTCCATCCGTATGGACAATCCTTTTTACCCACGATGGCTTGAGAAGGAAGCTAAGGACCTTTTAGTGAAGGTAAGAGATTAAGAAGAGAAGGTCTTCAACAGATTAGACTTTCTGATCAATATTCCCTCTTGTCTCTGGATTCTTATACATATAGACCAAAAATAACTGATTTGGATTGGATTTACATGGGATGCTCACTGTCTCTGTTTTAACTGGCACCAATATTATGAACAATAGATATGAAAATCAATATTAGATAAATTCTCATGTGCATAATTTATAAAAGGAATGCTCAGGGACCAGCTCCATGATTCTTGAATGCTCTCACTTGGAAATGTAGTTGGTTCATTAAACAAGCACAGTTTGTGGCTTAAAACTCTAATCTTTTCTTTCCTACATTCTCAATTGAAAACATTTAGTATGGTTCATCTCCCCTACCCTTGGTTGAAAACTTGTATAGCAGGGTGGGCATTTGGCACAGTAATTAAATCACCACTTGGGGCACACGCATCCCATATTGGAGTGCCTGATTCAAGTCTTGGCTCTTCCACTTCCAATCCAGTTTCCTGCTAATGCCCACCCTGGAAGGTAGCAGATGATGACTCAAATGTTTGGATCACTGACACCAATGTGGGAGACATGGATTGGGCTGTGAATCAATCTTAATTTTTTAAAGTGAAGCCTTTTTCTCTCTTTCTCCTGGTCAGAGTTCATGGTTGGGAGCAGCTCACGTTGTCATATTGTGGTTGACTGTGTCGTTATTCACTCCTCTCCAACTCTGGAGCTTCTACTTCAGATCACACCAAGCTGAAGCAGAGAAAGGATGGAAGGATGAGGAGAAAGAACTCTTCCTATATGGCTAGATGGCTTCATAGTCTGAACCTGGTAGATGGTTCAAACTGAGACTTTCATGAGATGTTTGAACAAGTTCTTTGGAAATACTTATTCTTGGGAACATTTTGGGGGAGTAAACTCTTGGGATACAGGCTATTCAATCTTCTCTAGTCTAGAAACTATACCAAAACTAATTCAGTAACACTCTCCCACTGTTTGTTGCCTGTCCAGTAGACTGTCTTAGATAGTACTCAAAATGTATACAGACCAGCTCTCTCTCTTCACATGTCCCCTGTGTTGTCCACTGGAAATGTTGATGTAGCCTACACCCTCTAAAACCCTGAGAATGCAAGCTATTACCATCTTAGCAACAATCTCCAGAATTGCCCATCCAAGCAGAGTCAACCCCCAATCATGGTAGCATAATATCCATTTGAAATAGGTATTATGGTGTTATCAATGGAAACTAGTCTCTAAGAATCACGATCTGTGAACCATGAACTCCTAGAGCAAATCCATGTAGAAACAAAAGAATGCCTGCCTAGGAACCACCATGAAATATTTGAACTTTAGGCAGAGTCCCATTTTGCCATTTTTAGAGATGCAAAATCCTATCCAGAGTGCATGAATGTAACAAGTTGTAAAATGAAAAATGAATGATACAAATACAACATGCCAAGTATTTATAAGAACTTATTGTTTATTACATGCATTTTTCTGAGCTGTCCCGACAAATATTTGGATCAAAAAGGCCTGTTAGTCTGATGAAGAGATGAGTAAATCTAGAAGAAAGGGACCAAGAATGCAAGTGTTTTGGAGGAAATGTTTTTTTCTAGGATCTCATATGTCAGATAGTTTTTAAAAATATTTATTTATTTATTTGAAAGAGCTATACAGAGAGAAGGAGAGGCAGAGAGAGAGAGAGAGAGAGAGAGAGAGGAAATCCTCCATCTGTTGGTTCAATCCCCAACTGGCCACAACAGCCGGAGCTGCACTGATCCAAAGCTGGGAGCCAGGAGCTTCTTCTGGGTCTCCCATATGATTGCAGGGCCCAAGGCCTTAGACCATGCTCTACTGCTTTCCCAGGCCATAGCAGCGAGCTGGATCAGAAGTGGAGCAGCCGGTTCGTGAACTGGTGCCCATATGGGATGCCAGCACTGCATGGGGTGGCTCTACCCACTATGCCACAGCCCCAGCCCCTGTCAGATGGTTTTTAAAAGTTATCCCTTAGAAATAACTTTTAGCCTTGTTCTTGCTATATTAAAAATGGAAACAGGACCAGGTCTTTCAACAATAGAAACTATCAGTGTGTTTTAAATCAAAACATAGAAAAATGTTACCAGGCCTATATTTTTTAAAGGGTTTTTGTTTTTTTGTTTGTTTGTTTGTTTGTTTTTTTTTAGATTTGACAAATAGGCCGGCGCCATGGCTCAATAGGCTAATCCTCCGCTTTGCGGTGCCAGCACCCTGGGTTCTAGTCCCGGTTGGGGCACCGGATCCTGTCCCGGTTGCCTCTCTTCCAGGCCACTCTCTGCTGTGGCCCGGGAGTGCAGTGGAGGATGGCCCAAGTGCTTGGGCCCTGCACCCCATGGGAGACCAGGAGAAGCACCTGGCTTCTGGCTTCGGATCAGTGCAGTGTGCCAATCGCAGCGTGCCAGCCCCAGCGGCCACTGGAGGGTGACCTTTCTCTCTGTCTCTCTCACTGTCCACTCTGCCTGTCAAAAAAAAATTTGACATATAGAGTTAGACAGTGAGAGAGAGAAGAGAGAGACAGAGAGAAAGGTCTTCCTTCTGTTCACCCCTCAAATGGCTGCTACAGCTGGAGCTACGCCAATCCGAAGCCAGGAGCCAGGTGCTTCCTCCTGGTCTCCCATGCGGGTGCAGGGGCCCAAGCACTTGGGCCATCTTCCACTGATGGACTGGAAGAGGAGCAACCAGGACTAGAACCCGGCTCTCATATGGGATGCCGGCACTGCAGATGGAGGAGTAACCAAGTGAGCCATGGCGCTGACCCCCAGGCCTATCTTTTTTTCGCTGGCCTACTTTTTTTCTCTTTAAGAACTATTTAGAATTAAATTTATCACTTCTACCTTTCTAATCCAAGTGATAATTTGTCTAAGGTATTAGAAATTTTGAGGCAATTCCAGAGTTCTCCTTCAGGAATCAAGATCTTGAATCTGAGAAGTGCTGACAAAGCCCTCATAGGATACCCAGCCCAAGGCTAATGGAACTAGGTATTTAACAATCTGAGCCAGTTTTATCTAGTTTTTGCCTTCTGACTGTAATACAAACATACCATAAACTTATAAAACTCCCTGAATGACCAATTAAATTCACTTTTAATGACTAAACAAAACATACATAAAATGAAAGCTAATTTCAAAATTAACCCATAAAAGATAATGACAACAGTAAAAATGAGCCAATAGGATTAGAAGGTAAATAGTTTTCCTTTACATAAAGGCAAGTTCAAGCATTATTTACAATTGCTACACATATTTTACACTTGGCTTTATGAAGGACCCAGTGTGTGAAGGGTATAAGTTGGTTCAAGCTGTCATAGCAAAACATTGCAGACAGGAGCTTAAACAGCAGACTTTTCTGTACATGGTTCTGACCTCTAGAAGTCCAAGATCAAAGCTCAGCAGGGTCATCTGGCTTGTAGGTGGCTCTTTTCTTGCTTTGTCCTTGCATGGCAGAGACAGCAAGAGTGAGAGCTAGCAACTGAGCAAGTGAGGGAGAGAAATGGTGTCCATTTCATATGAGGATACTAATAATGTGGGATCAAGATTCCACTGTCTGACCTCACTTAACCCTAATTATCTCCCTCAAAGCCATATCTATAGCCACTTTTGGGGGATAGGGCTTCAGCATCTGAATTTTGAGTCCATAGCATGAGGGCTGCTCTGAGAAGCCTGAGTCAGGAAAACTCACTGGAAAAAAAAGAAAGAAATGAAGAAAGATCTTGGTCTTTACTGTCAGAGGGCAGAGGTCACCTTCTGACTCAGGAGCTATTTTAGGTGGGTCTTGGGATGGAAGCCTTGGAACTACAAATGCAAGCCCCCACACCTGTTGATGCTCCCTGTAAAAACCAGCCTTCCCCAGTGGATGGTAACCCAAGTGCTTGGGCCTCTGCCATCTATAAGGGACACCAGGATGGGATTCCTGGTTCCTGACCTCAACTCGGTCTAGCTTTGGTTGTTGGTGGTCATTTGGAAAGTGAACCAGCACATGGAAGACATTCATATTCTCTCTCTCTCTCCCCTTCCTGTGTCTCCAAAATACACAAACAAATAAATAATTCTGTAAATTAAAATAGAAACAACCTTATCATTGTGCTTTGCAAATCCAGTTTGACCTCAGGATCTGCCACAGGTTCAGGCAAAAGAATTGAAGCGGGATTGAGAACAGACGAGGTTCATCAGAAGAAACTCAATAGAAAGAAGTTGGGAATAATCATTCAAAAGAGAAGAAGATTTAGTAGGAGGAAAGAATTATTCCAGTTGGAGGAGAAAGGTGAAAGTTATGTGCATGAAATCCTACTCAGCAATAAAACGGAACTGTTGGTACATAAACTTGAATGGGTCTCAAGGCTGTTAATGTTGAGTGCAAAATGCCAGCCTTCAAAGTTCACATACTCTATGAGTCTATTTACATACAACATTATTATAATGACAACTTTGGAGAGATGGAAATCAGATCGGTGGTTGCCAGGGACTATGGTAATGGGGCAGTAGAGTGAGTGTGACTGTTGAGTGGTGGCACAAGGGAGATCTTTGTGGTGATGGAACTGTTTGTATGTTGCTTGCCCAGATCCACTCATGTGATAAAATGTCCTAGAACCAGACACACTTATTTCACCAGTGTCATCTTTCTGGTAGTTGAGCCATCTGTGAGAGGCAACCCCTGGGGGAGATTGAGATCTCTGTGCTAGCTCTTCAGTGTCCTGGGAATCTAAAAGTATTTCAAAATGTTTAAAAACAAACCTCAATCTAAGGCTAAATGTCATGAAAATACAAAGAAAAAAAGAAAAACAGAAGTCATCTGGAGACTTTTGGTGTCAGGAGAAAGGTTTGTCGTGGGAGTGGAGAATTAATTTTGTTGAATAGGGCAGGAACCAACACAATTAAGGATAAAGAAGGAAATTAAAAAGCCTAGTGAGTGAAAGAGGCTTAAGTCTGTATAGGAGAACTTGAGCTTATTAATTTGCCATGCAAATTAATAAAAATTCTATGTCCTTTCTCCTGCATATATGAATATTCCAGCAGTTGGACTGATAAAAAGTGTTTCCATTATGCAGTTCTGTGATCACTGGTTTCTAGTTTCCTTTTTACTCCTCATCTGCTTCCTAACTTTGATCCAACAGTCCCTACCTCCTTAATCTCCTTTTTCTACAAAAAATCAAAGAAAATACCATTTCTCAGAAACTCCCAATAGGGAATTTTACATAATGTTGTGAAACCTACAAGTCATGGGGCTGCGCTGTAGCATAGCACGTAAAGCCACTACCTGCAGTGAGGGCATCCCATATAGATGCTGGCTCAAGACTTGGCTGTTCCATTTCCAAGCCAGCTCTTTGCTATGGCCTGGAAAACCTACTAGTCATGGATCTTCATGGAAAGCTGAAGAAAACAGCGTTCAGTGGCTTCTGTGCCGGCGGAAGTACCAGACTCTGACCCATTTCATCCAGGCAGGGTATGGATGCATGTTGTGTACTGAACAATTGCATATCAAGAGGGGCTGTGCTCCCTCAAGTATCACAACTGGGACACTGCTGTCCACTTGGCTGTTGACAAAGAAACACCCTTTTCTTCCTCACTTATCCATCCAGAATGTCCTGTCCATTTGTTTGAAAATGATGGAAAACTGATGAACAGAAATGCCACTCCCTGTTAAGACGCATCTGAAGAGAAACTAAAGAGGCAGGGCACATAGAACCTGTCACCAGCCACCAGGGAAAACCCCAGCAGCCCACAATGGCTTTTTTGCCCAGACTGTCAAGTAAATCTAAACAAACTCTAACTACATCCTGGCCATTTATAAAACAGGTGTGCTGTTTCCTATAAATGTAAACCACAGCTTTTACACACGAAAGCCAGTCTTTCTTCATGAATCTTATTTCTTGTGTGCAAGTTGCTAGGCCTTGGATACCCTCTGAGGTCATCAGTCATCCCAAGACTGTGGACTGGTTGATTTGCAACAGGAAAAAAGATAATAATTTGCTGTCCTTTATACAATTAGAAAGAATATTAAATCATGGCAGCTGGAGACTATAGTATGTTCTCATTAACCATCTGCTTTTTAAAACGTATTTTTAAATTTCATAGGCAAACCTACCAGGCTCTTGATCATGATCCTCTTAGTACCAAGTGCCACATGTTTGCTGGAAAAATCTAATGGAAAATTTAGCATCATGTGCACTTGTTCCAGTCCCAGTTCCAGCTAACTTAACTCCCTGAAGCATTTCATTATATCAGCATGAGTTTGTTTGGGGTCTATTCTTGAGATACTTAACACCTTCTCTCTGATCTTATTTCATCAAAATGTCTTTAATAAGTAGGTCAATCATTTATTATGATCCTTGCAAGGCAAGAAATATGGGGTAAGTCATTCATGCCTTCTGCTTCTGAAAAATCAGTCTGCTTTTCCACCTGTTGACGCCTACTGATTTTTGAGTTTACAACTAAATAGAGCTTACTTTGAACTTAGTGCCTTATCTATGCTGGGAACAAGAATGCTAACAGATGAGGACTGAGGACCGAAGACTCATGATCTACAGATAAACCAGTGGAAAAACAGCTTATCCACTTATTCAACATTTACTATGTGCTTAGCACTATCCTAGACTCTGTAAGGAACAGAAATTGCATCTGTCCTGCAGAGCTTGCAGTCTGGTTGGCAAGGTGGACTTGGAAAACATACACAGCCTGCTAATTCCTGTACTGGAGGCAAGCAGTTCTATGAAGCACTGAGGAGGCAGAAGTGGGAAAGAGACTGCATATCACGGAGGCTCTACATTGGCTGGATTTGTGATCAGGGGCAAATTATACCCCTACTTCAAGCCTCAGCTTCTCGAACAGGCAATTGGAATAACAATACAGTTCTTGCTCTTACAACTTATTTTTAAAGTTTAGATAAAGGCACATAGTTATGCTAAGACAGGAGCCATAAGTTCTGGAGGATTATTCGGCAGGATGGTGACTACAGTTAATAGCAATGTACCGTACACTTGAAGTTTGCAAAAAGGGTAGATTTTTCAGTGTTCTTACTGCAAAAAAGGGTAAGTATGTGAGGTGAAGGATTTGTTAATTAACTTGACTTCATCATTCCATAATGTATATACACATATCAACACCTTGTATTGTAACTAATGAATACATGCAATAAAAAAATAAATCAGGATGGAGCAACTGAGATATCTAGCACAGTGCCTGCCTCTCAAAGAACATTGATTGGAATGAATGATTTAACCCATCACATGTCCATAAATATGACTTGGAAAAAGAGCTCACCATTAGGCCAACGCCATGGCTCACTAGGCTAATCCTCTGCCTGCGGCACTGGCACTTCAGGTTCTAGTCCCAGTTGGGGTGCCAGTTCTGTCCCAGTTGCTCCTCTTCCAGTCCAGCTCTCTGCTGTGCCCCAGGAAGGCAGTGGAGGATGGCCCAAGTGCTTGGGCCCTGCACTTGCATGGGAGACCAGGAGGAAGCACCTGGCTCCTGGCTTCGGATCGGCGCAGTGCGCCGGCTGTAGCAGCCATTTAGGGGGTGAACCAACGGAAGGAAGATGTTTCTCTCTGTCTCTCTCTCACTAACTCTGCCTGTCGAAAAAAAAATAAAAATGAATCAGCAGTGAGCTCACCATCAGTTGAGGCAATCAGAGCTGAGTCCTGAACAATGGGGCAGGAGTTGAGGAGAAGGAAAAGGGAGTACAAAGGTGTCGAGCATCTCCTTGCAAGATGGAAATGCAACTAGTGAAGGACAGAGGTAGAAACAGCAGGTGCACAAGCTGTCTGGATAAAAGAGGATTCTGTTGGGAATCAAAGGGTACCTATGCTGGTATCAGACTTCAGAGAGCCTTGAACACCACTTGGAGGTTCAGGAACATCAGAACTCAACAGGCATTAGAGCTCACCATGGGGACATCGAGACTTGACGAATTTACCCAGTGTCACATGTGTAGTAAACCTCTTGCCTGACAGTCTCATGTCATTCTAAATCAGGTGCTTTGCAACTCTGACAGTGTCCTCAGGGGCCACCACGTGGCAAAGGGGACAAAGAGTGTTAGGACCACGACCCAGATCATGTCACCTGGGCCTTCAAAGACTCTCCTACTATAAAAAAAAAAGGAAAAGAGATCCTCACCTCTCAGTAGCATGTTTGGTTTTTCTTGTTTGGTAGAATGAAGACTTTGAAGATTTTCAAGCAGTAAGCCTACATGAAGCAATGTTTCAGAACATGTGGACTTATTATTTTTCTAAGGAATAAAAGCAAGAGAGTCTTGCAATTTAAAGGGGAATGGAGGGCAAATGCTGGCCAGAGCCTCCTGGAAAGTCCAGCTTTTCACCGTGTTTTCTGCTTTAAAGATCTGTGGCTGCCTTAAAGTGCCCTCTAACTAGTGGTTACTTCACAAACAAACACCTAGCTGATTTAAGAATCAGGGATAACTGCTCCAGACACTCAGGGGACCCGTTACTTTTCCTAGTTGATGTTTAGACTCTCTTGCTCCTTCATGCCCTTAAGTCTTATTTAAGTTTGAAATGTTTCCAAGTGTTTTTCTTGTTGTATCCATGTTTGTTTTTACTCACAGAGCTGGGAGGCAAGTAATAGAAAAGGGGGAGGTGCAAAGAGGAAAACATATACATCAGCTCACAGATTAGAAAAGATGAATTTTGAATTAAAGATTATTCATCTAGTCGGTTTTCCATGGTCAAGAGTGATGCTCTATATTCAGATACCTTGTAAAGTTCAAAGCCGACTATCTGGGACCAATCTTTATTACACTCCAACCCCTACAATGCTAGAATCCTAGAAGGCATTCTAAGACTTTTGTGAAAAAACAACAAATAAATTGGTATGCTGTGCTTTGCGGTTTTATAGACCAGACCAGGAGTTACAGTGTGCAAATGTGTGTGCATGTATACATACATGTATATGCCTACTCATCTTTATACGTATGTGTGTGACGTGTATGCACATGTGTGTTCTTGTGTCCATATACATATGTATGTGTGCATCGTTGCTGCATGTATGTGGGTATGTACAAATATGTGTGCTTCTATTTTATTTAATCCTCAGACTCACTTTGCAGGTGAGGAAATTGACTCTGCATTTTGTCATTTGCTAGAGGTGCCTTACGTAAGACATGGCAAAGCTGATTTCAAACCAGGGCGATCTGACTCAAAAGACAGCATGTGAGGGGAAAGAGTAGAGTAGCAAAAATCCAGCCTCTAGAATATTCAGAAAGGCTTCTTTGACTTTAGTCTATCATTATAAAGGTCAGTAGAGAAATAAGAGGGGAAAAGCAAATGACCTAAGAAATAGAACATCAATGGATACTAACTGATGCATCCTTTGAGTAGCAAACTGCTCTGTCTCTACTTCTTTTTAGCTTTTTGTGCGAGAACCTGAAAAGAGGCTGGGAGTAAGAGGAGACATCCGCCAGCATCCTTTGTTTCGGGAGATCAATTGGGAAGAACTTGAAAGAAAGGAGATTGACCCACCTTTCAGACCTAAAGTGGTAAGGACTCACCCATGGGAACTTGTGGCTCCAGCCATTCTCCCTTCACTCATAGGCTGTCTGTCTATCCAAGTAGCCTTGAATCCCTATCAGGAGCCCCTTCTCCCCACCTAGACCCAACCTCTAGGAATAATGTGTGGGAAAGTGTTACTCTTGTTTGCACAATTTAATCTCTGCCATTGAAATGTACCTGCATGTTGAAAGAATTAGTGAGTTTACATGCCTGAGCTGGAATGTGTGTTTGTAAAGTGTGAGGCGTGGCTATCATAAGAGGTGGAGTTGTTGTATGTGATAGATACATACTTAATGACCTGGTCTGGATGGTCCAAATGTCCATATAATCCCTGTATGTTGTGTCAGGGAATATGGAATCTTTTTTCACAAGATATTTATTAAAGTTGATAGTTTATATAATATTTTCAATTTGTTCATATAACCATAATAGCAATTTTCAGGTTCCCTTTACTATTCAATGGAGAAAACATAGATTGGTGCTTAGAAAAATATAGGTCTCTAAAGTCCCATGTGGCTATCTCCTGGCAAAAGTCACTAACCTTATCATAAACAGAATGATCTGCTTCCCATGCAAGATGAACTGTCATACAGTGAAGACAAAAGTAAAACAAAGTTAAAGTTAAAAAAAAATTCTGGAGATGGAGAGTGGTGAAGGGTGCACAACAACATGAAAAATGGTTGAGATGATAAATTTTACATTTTATGTATTTTACCACAATTTTTTTGTAAAATTAATAAGCTAAGTGATAGGTTTTCCAGCTTCAACCATTCCTGGCGGTAGCTGGGATTATGGCAGTTCTTACCCAGGTAGACGTGGATCATCTCTGCTGTGTCTTTGCACAGGGTTGTGGGATTCACAGCCAAAAGTTGACCCTAGAAATGTTAGTTTTGAGAGCAAGTGACTGGTAGCAGCAAATGCCCCTTGCTCTCAGGATAAGGAGAGTGACTGTCAAAGTCCATCCCAAGCACTGAGGATGTTCTGAGACTTCAACAGGCTGGCCTCCTACTAGCTGTAGCAGTACCACATATAATGCAGGAGTTAATCACTGGTGATCAAATAAATTTTACACTGTTTTAGCTATCAGAGAGGTTTAATGCACCTTCCACTGCAGATGACAATTGGCTTGATATTTTCAATGCTGAAGTCATAATTTTGATCTAAGCTTTCCCTGTAGAAAAATTTTCATTTTGCCAGAGGGAAGGAATTTCCCCCAAGCTGTGATCTGTAGACTCTTGTTTGTAGACCAGAGGCCAGAGTCATTGACCTCACCAGCTCAGGGGCTCTTTTGAGGTTGGGAGGAGCCTACCTCTTGTTCAGGCCCATATATGTACGTCTGACTGACTTTTGGTAATGGCTGTTGTCAGTCTCAGAATGATGAGTTGTATACCACAAGGAACCTTTTTTTTTGTTCTGAGAACCACTGGACCAAGTGGTCTGAAAGGAGTTCATCCCAGTCCATGTGGCTAGAGGAATAGATGATGGTGAAGATGTTGATAACAGCACAGAAGTATATCATCTGCAAAATCCTGTCCTTCCTCCCTTCCCTGTGCTCCCACCCCTACCCACTTTACCTTGTCTGCAAAAAAAGGGACAGAGGTCAAATTTGGGCTCAGTACTTTTCCAAGGGTTGCCATTCCTGTTTCACATAACTGCTCACTGGAAACATTGGATGCTATTTGAAGACATTCAATGAAACCCCTTTACATGAACTTAATTATGGTATTAACAAATAGATGACTTGAAATCATAAAGATGTTCAGTAAAAGCCATCTGGGTGGGGAACCCATTTTCTGCCAAGGGCCATTTGGATATTTATTACATCATTCGAGAGCCATACAAAATGATCAATGTAAGAACTGGCCTGCTCTACATTTATTGAATTTCGAGTCCCACCTGCACTTGCCTTGGTAGAGCCAGACCAGATGATTTCAAGGGTACTTATATGGCCTGTGGACTGAATGTTCCCCATGTCTGAATGATCATCTACGGTATTACTTTGGCTGAGTTTATCTACAATGCCAACTTTGTTGTATACAGGTACTACTTGAGATTATGATGCATTTTGTGGCTAATTATCTTGCTTACTCCCCCCTCCTCCAATCTTGACCTAGAAATCACCCTATGACTGCAGCAATTTTGACAAAGAATTCTTAAATGAGAAACCCCGGCTGTCATTTGCTGATGGAGCATTGATCAACAGCATGGACCAGAACATGTTCAGGAACTTTTCCTTCATCAATCCAGGCATGGAGAGGCTCATCTCCTGAACCGCGTCTCTCCAGAGACACAAAGGAAGTCGCCCTCTCTCTCTTTGAACTGGCTCAAGCCACACCCCATGGGTCCCTTTTCCAACTTGGAAAAGAAAAGAAACACTCAACAATAAAGGCTAAGCCCTTTCAGCTCCTCACGTGACTTTTTATGTGTAGCAGAAACCAACTCTACGTCACTAACGACATGGCTCTCTGGTTCAGCTCCTGGCATCTTTCACAGTCACTCGTGAAGTTAGGTCATTACTAACCATAGTTATTTACTTGAAAGATGGCTCTCCACACTGTGAAAGATTGGAAACTTAGCAGTGCTCTAAATGATGACTCTTCACTTGGGCACCAACTACTGATCAATGAAATGCTTGATGAAGCAAGGAGCAGGCTGAGAACAAACCTTGTGAGACTGAAACAGCCCATTGCCTGGTGTGGTCATAGATCTCATTCAGCTGCAGACTAGTAACCACTAATTCCTTTTATTCTGTTCATATCTGTGGAAGTGGAAATGCCTGGAGACTGGAAACCCTGAATAGGTTTTTATGGGATTCTTCACAATAAACATAGCTTGTAACTTGAGATTTACAAATCCATTCATTCTGATTAGCCAGGGAATTCACAGGAAAGGGGAAGATGGAAAACAGAGAGCACTCACGTCACTGAGTGGGAAGGTTTATGAGAACACCTATCCTGGTTACCTTGTCAACATGGAAACCAGGTGTAGAGCCCAACAAATCCAAAATCATGTTACTCCTGCCAATGAAACCTTTCCATCCTTCCATCCGCAGTGAATTTCAGCACCAGTACAGTCACTCACTTACCATC